TCATGCCATAATCGCTGAAAGCTCCTACCGTATTTCAACTTTCCATATTGCTGAGGTCTTTTTCAAAGAGATTCTCAGCAACTCAGCAGAAGTCACGTATGGTCATTCATTAAAAATATATTGCTCTTACGTGTAATATATTGATGCAATTATAGCGTAATATTTGTGTCAGCAAAGAAAGTAATGTAATGCTACAAAAAATAATATCGGGATTTCAACAGAAATACAGAAGACTCCTGACATCGGAATCGTGCGTTTCTTAAAACTATATCTCTGCTCTATTTAAAGCTATATCTCTCTATGTGAACAACAGTAGCTTGCAATCCGTACACAAATTTCGCACCAGAATGGATAATCCAAGATTGATGGCCGCTTCAATTTGAAAAGGATATTTATTTACATTTGATTTTTGGGATCACTTTACCTCAAACCCTTAGAAAATTTTCTCTAAAATTTTTTTCTCTAGTACAGTTGTTGTTCTAATACAGCTTCTTAAGCTGACACAATAACTATTTGAGTTAAAAAAACATCTAAATTTCTAAAATTGGAAAGTTCTGTTTTCCCTAGCTGTCTTATACCCCTTAATATCAAAGTGCAAGATAATCCTTTTTTAATCCAATGTATTCATGAATATTACATTTTTTATCATTACATTTATACTTTTCGAAAAATTAATAGTTTTCGAGAAATTGTGAGTAAAAAAGTTTCTAAATTGTTTAAAATCCTCGAAAACTGTTCCACATTTTTTAAAGCTTTTGGTGGAGAGAATGCTCAAACGATCGAATCCTAAGAGAATGGCTATTTTGATTTTAACTTCTAAATTTTCAAAACTTATCGATATTTTTTCGAAATCCTTCACTGCGAAGAGTTTTTCACGAGATTTCTTATATACTTGAAGAAAAATTGCAAATATAATAGGAGGCAATCATTAAAAATATTTCTAGAAAGTATATGCTGTTGTATCGGCGTCGTTTCGTTGGTCTTCCAACAATTTATTTGTAGGGTCGTTCAGTCTCTTTAATCAGTATCAGAGGAAAGATGAAAGGAAGACTTCAGAATCAATAGAAATAGAGAGTAACAGACACGCCAACTAGGAACCTTGAGGAGGAACATGGAACATAGATTAACAATCTAGATAACACAATGATGCAAACTTTTATTACTACTACTACTACTACTACTACTACTACTACTACTACTACTACTACTACTACTACTACTACTACATATCATAAGTTGATATCATTCGGAGAAGAGGAACCTTTGTAATCAATATTAATTAAGATATTGTTATGATTTAACCACCATCATTTTAACACAATAATGTGTGGTTTTAAATTAGTTGGAATATGTGTTATTTGTTATCAATACAGATTTATTGTCTACTCTATCCAGAATGCCCATGTAACCATGTATAAAATCCTTTTAAAAGCGCTTTTACCTCATTTGTCGCCCTCCAGTTAATATTGACCGGTCCTTCCCACCCCTGCTCCTTCGCAGCTTCCCACCCTCGAACGCGTCCTCAGCGAGTTCTCGCCCCAGCCGCTCCCAGAGTGCGAGGGTTCGAGCCGCTGTCACTGCGACGCGCAGCTCCGCGGCGCGCAGAACGTCGAGTGCTTTTGCGAGCGAGAACGACTTCATCGATTGAAGGGCTTCAGGGGTTGAGATGCGCCCGCTGCTGTTGTCGAAATCGAGAGCATTGGACGGTCGCTTCGACAAAATATTTCAAAGCGACTCCAGATTTAATATACTAAAAGTACCTGGTTGTGGACGTTCCTCTCTGCGTCTCTCATCTCTTTCTGCTTCCGTCTCTTTATCTCCATCTCTTTGTCTTTCTGCTTCTCCCTGTCTCTCCGTTTTTTCTTACAGCCCTGTCTCACTCGCTTTTCCCGTTTTTCTTCCGCCGCCTTTCTCCCCGTCTCAATCTCTCAGTCTCTCTCCCTTCTTTCTCCGTTTCACCCGTTTCCGTGTCTCCGTCGGCGTCATAACGCAGGGCCCCATTGGCTGCGGTCAGAAGGGAATAGGGGTCAGCACATAGTTCGGTTCAAAAGAAGGACTAGCCTGGTGAAGTAAGGATCGCCGGTGGTCTTTTGTTTACGGTACCACCTCAACATCTTCAAGGAATTCTAAGAGCGGGAACCGCTGATCAGAGCAGTTGTCCGTAGAATTCAGGCAGACCCTCGTACGAATGCGTTTGTTCATGCCTTCACACGGCTCACTTTATTTTATTTACACATGCATTGATGACCTAAAGCTGTGAAAACTAGAACGAATAACTTATAACTAGCACAAGCGCATGAGAAAGCCTACGGATATACCTCTACTTTTCTTCCAATTCGAAAACATTTTTAGAAAAATATAAATTCGTATTTTTTTGTACAGCGGAATCTGCACAGCGTGAATTTGGGTAGAACTGGTATTTGAATATCATGTGAATACACGTTGGAGGAGAGACATGGAATGTAAGACTAATTGCCTGAAGTTAAATTCTTTGTGTCATGAGGTATTGATTTTAGATGATTGTCAGTTGTGTGTAAGTTGGTTTTAGATGTATTTACAAGACAATTTTAGATGAATTTACAAAACAAGATAGTATTAGAAAAATACAAATTTGGAAAACCATTACCGTGCCTAAGAGAGAGCTTACATTTTTATTTGGCATTAAAAGGATTTTTGAATATATGGAGAATATTAAGCCTACCTTTATTCCTATTTTTTAAATTTAACAATTCATATACTTTTGTTTTAGGGACTGCGAGTAGTGGAACCACTTTTGACAGTTGACAGCTGTCATTATAACTGTCAATTTACAGCGACTGCCGCTTAGTGCTGCATCATAGGCATCCTTGTGGTCGATGTCCGCGCTCCGATTTGCACGAAAAATAAACACAAATTGCGCTTTCTATTTCTGTTTTGCATTATATAATAGTAATTTTTAAGTTATAGGAAGAAATAAAAAATACATATTCAAAAGTCTCCATATACAAGTACGAACAAGCCAATTATAAATTTAACCTTTCGTCGACACGGATTGTTGTGTTCCAAATTCTTATTAAAACAACTTTTTATTGCTTTTTAATGAAAACATTGAAATTGCCAAAATTGGTCATTTTAACCTAGTAGGCAAAATCTTTTGCTATTGGATTGTGTTAGGAAGACATGAAATAAATATAAACGTTGTCATTGCCAACAATAGTATTTATTACAAGAGCAGCTTTCGATGGCTTAGCCATCATCATCAGTTGCCTGCTGAATGGAAGCCACAAAAACGACTAGTCGTTTCTTTCAAATTCAAAAAGTAAAACACTTCTTGTTTTACTTTTCTACTTATTGCTTCGTACTGTAAATTAGTTTCAATTTTCTTGTCACTAAACCATTTTAAATATAGCTCTTTTCCTATTAATCTTTTCTTCTGGACTTGTGTTTCACCAATTTGTTTTCAGATTTAATTTACAAGTACCTAAAGCTTCCATAGCGGCTTGGTGAATACGTTCTTTAATGTGTTGATATTCTTTTTCTATTGGTCTCCAGTAGTTAAGCTTCAAGTCTTTACTGTAAGGATATGCTGTACTTTAAACGAAGAGACCGCTTAGTTTGTATTTCGTATGTTTCATGACAAATCCATTTTTATCTTCTGTATCCGTGCTATTTCATATAAATGGTATTTTGGTTTTGGTAAATGGTGTTTGGTATTTTATCAATTACCAAATAATAATGCCTACATTGGGCTCCCCGTTTCACTCTAACATCATATATTTTGAGTGAAGTTTTTTGCTTAGTTACATCGAGATCTATTATAGATTTTAGAATTTTTGTATACTGGTACCAGGTGTATTTATGAATATCCTTATGTTCGAAGAAAATTTTATTAATTTTCATTTCATATTCTTCACAAATATTAATTAGTCGTCTTCGATTGTCATTGCGAGATTCCTCACCATACTGATCCACAATATTTTTGTTCTTGTCTCTTCCCACTCTGCTTTTCAAATCACCTGCAAATATTTTTTCATAGGACTTTGGTGGAATACTGTCAAGGGTTTTTGTGTGACTGTCATTTCAAAATAATCTTTCTTAGCTATTGGTGCATCAGCATTCAAATTATATATTCCTATGACACTGATGTATTCTCTTTTGATTTTTAACACTTAAATCATTTCGTTTTATACTCCCAACTTTTCCCAACATTTTCATGTTTGTTTACTCCAGTGCAAAAGTGCACAAAATTGTTCAGTGTTATGCTTCACTAGACTTTCTTTATAGTTTCAGACCAGACGGTTATTTATAAATGTATGCTATTTCCTGTATTACACAATAATTATACTTGTTTTAGATATAGAATATTGAATTTTAAGCTGTAATTAACACAAATGATACACATTAAATCAACCTACAAAATCAATATTCTTAAGATATTATATATAATTCTATCATGTAATATATCATTATTCCAAATCATTTTATAAAAAAGAGAATGAAAAAACAAATATACTGTGGGAGCGGGCAGATCGGTGCAAAGAGGTTTGTCGCAGGAATTGGACATGAACTGCGTTCGAAGCTGAAAAGGGGTTCGGGGCCGAGAGAGGTTTCGGAGCTGGAGGGGATCTGAGCTCAGAGGGTTCTGGGACTGAGGGGGTTTCGAGACTGAGAAAGCATCCGGGGTGAGAGATGATCGGTGGAGAGAGGGGTTCGGAAGTGAGTGGGATCCGGGGATGAACGGCATCTAGATATGTGTGGAATCTGTGGCTGAGCTGGGTCCAGGGCCAAGGGGGTTTCGGAGCTGAGACGGATCCTGCCCGGGCTGGACCGGTTCCGAGGATGGGCGGGATACGGGCCAGTGCAGGGTCCGAAGTTGTTGGATCCAGGGATGAGAGCGTTTTGAGGCTGAGAAAGCTACGGGGGTGCCCGGCGTTGGACTCGATCCGGAAATGAACCGGGTCCAGGGCTGAGAGAGACTCGAGCTGATTAGGCTACGGAACTGAGAGGGGTTCAGGGCTCAGGGAGGTTCGAGTCTGAGATGGATGGAAATATTTAGGGCTGAGAAGGTTTTAGAATCGAGAAAGGTCCGGGTCTAAGCAATATCTAGGGCTGAAACGGTTTCGGGGTGAAGGGGTTCGGCGCTGAAGAGGTTCGTGGCTG